ACTTTATTACTGTTCTGTTGCTAACAAACCATTATATGCATGTATCAATATTGCAAAAGCTTTTAGTACATTATTTTTTTTACGAACTTATGTTTTTAATGCAAGCATAAACTGAATAGGCTCATGGGCGTCGAAAGGAAATTGAACGTTGGGGAGGGGAAGGCTAAACCATCAAAAAAGGTAAACCCGAATTTCAAATGCCTATACTATGTCTATCTTTGTAAAAAAGTGGCGAAGTCCCCCCGCCCCCCATCGGATACGACGCCTATGAGACTATCAAGGTAAGTAGACTAAAACGTTCGAGAAAACATTACATTGTAGCTCAAAATACATTCATTGCTATCAAAATGATATCATACGAAACAAAGAGGGGAACCTAATTTATTAGTCAACAAGACCATAACAGAAACGACCAATAATTTTTTGTCGAAATCACTTGAATAGCAGCGGAGTATACATTATTTTCTAGTCTGTATAGCATTTAAAAAAATAAAAATCATTTAGCCCTTCCCCTCTGTTTTAGGAAATGTATTACTGGGAAAGTAAGGCTTGAGAGAATGTATTTATGAATGCTCTAATTGAATAGAATATACAGCTGTACATGTGTACATGTGTAATATGTTCAGTAGATGGATTTTATTTCACGAGTAGGAAAGGATTTTTTAAATCAATATTTTAAGAAATACAAAACATGAGAAAATGTATTTAATAAAATGTTTTTCAAGTAAATCAATTCCATATTTAAATTCAAACTTTTGATTTTTTTTATATTCTTATTTTAGTTTCTCTTTTTATGTGCCTGGGTCAATAGAACCATGGCGTATATTTGATTTGTCCTGTACTTTTTTTCTGTTTGTCTGCAAACTTAACATGCGCCATACCTTTGGAACCTTGAAAGATAGAGACTTCATATTTGACATCCATACTCCACTAATTAAGATTTTAATAAATGACACCAAGGTCAATGATCCTGTGAGCTTGGCTGTGACCTATATGCTAACAATATTTTTTGTCTTCAATCTTTAATCTTCTCGAGAATTTTGAAACCATGAAATAAAGAGACTTTGTATTTAGTTCGGTAATTACGCTTTTTCAAATGACACAAATGCAATGACCTTGTGACCTAGACTGTGACATTTATGAAAAATTAAGCTTTTTTGGACCTTTACCATAAATTAAGAACCATGAATTATAAAGACTATATTTTTGGTATGCGTACTCTACTAATTAGGTTCTTTCTGAGTTTCAAATATTACAAAAGGTAATGAACTTGTGACCTTGACTGTGACCTGTATGCTAAAAATGGAATTTTTTTTCGAAATTTGTTCCTGTCGGGCGCATAGTGTACACAAACACATCTTGTTCTATTTTTAAAAAGGCCAAACAGTATTTTACAACACCTTTTGAGAAGAGAAAAATATTTTTCTCATCATGACAAATTTCACTTTCATTCAGTAGTTAATTAAATACATGTTAAATTATTTCACTGTTTAAAATTTTATGAAAGATTCATAATAGCTTCATATTTCACAACAAGTCAAAGAGAAAAGATTTCTACATAAATGTTTTATCCATAATTTGGTTTATTAATAAAACTGATTTTTTACACTATTGAAAGAAAAAAAATGTTTTATCCATAATTTGGTTTATTAATAAAACTGATTTTTTACACTATTGAAAGAAAAAAATGTGAACTTAAAATTGAAATTAAAGAAAAATAATCTGTCACTTTTTTGAAAAGCTCTTCTTTCAATGACTAATTCGGAAAAGCGTCTTTTAGAAAAACTTTGCAATGAGAATGATCCACGGAAGTATTGTGCATACGTATATTACATGTAGAGCTTCAGTGAAATCTGCTATTACAAGTATTACTATTATTGATTACACAGATCAGCTGAACATATTACATTAGGATGCTGATTAATCATAAAATTATAGTTGTATATTTTTCGTCAGTTAGAGGTTTATATCATAGCATATTTCATATTTTCTTTCAAGAACGTTCCATTCAACAATATGATATAGTTAATGAATAAAAGTAAATTTTCGCCCAGTTTTATTTTTACCCCTTTAGCCCTATCCTCATTAATGCAAATTAAAATGGGGGCGAAACAAAGAAATCAATAGTATAATTTCTTATGCAAAACTATGACTTGGCGAAAGTTGTCGAATTTGTTTTAACGTTTTCAGACTGCAAATAGTATACCCTGTCCTATATTTGGTAACAACAGTATTTTATGCCAATACGAGAAAGGTGGTCAGTCCCATTTAACAAAATAAGAAGGTTCACGTAGTATAATTTTGACACCTGTACTCTGGTGTTTCAAAGAGTGAGGGAGGGGAGGTACGAAATGACAAGGACTTTTATTGTTTTGGCATCATTGTGACCGTTTCTAGATATCCAAACAGTTTTTAAAGAACATGGTAGTAAGTAAAACAAAAGTACTTGATTTTTATGAATGTATTTTAAGGTGAATTTTTAATCAATGTTAATGATTAAAATCTTTTTTAACGAAAAATATTGAGCAATGCATTAAATAGAAATGTGTTTGTTTTAGAATTATGAGTATTTCTTTCAGTATACTTAGAGACATTTTCTATGTCTTAGAATGATGAAGTATCCATCCAAATAATAAAAATTGAAGAGATACTCAAACATTTCCGGATGTATGTCAGAGAGATTGAAGGGCTCATTGTTTGCATGAAAACATATGTTTTTAAAATGACATACGTGTTCCTCGCATTCACTTCACCCCAGAGAATGTACTCGAAAAAATCGTACTTATTTTGCATTCCCACTTAGTTTTTCATTGTTTTATCCTTCCTTCTTTATAAGCTAATCATTTAAAATATCCTAAAACATCAACAATTACCTGATCCAATCCACCGGTATTTTTCGCATCTTTTAATTGATCTTACATTTTATAAAAATTATATATTGAATATGTGTTTAATTTGTTTTTTTCCCTTTTTTGTTAATTTGGCCGGATAATTAATTACCATAAGAAAATGAATAATGAAAAAAAAACTCCAAGGATTCCTTTTATCAGTGGATTTCTGAGTCATCTTAAATGTTTAAAGTGCCCAAAGTATGTATACTAGGGTTGTAACATAAGTAATGTGACACACATCCTGATGCAGAAACAGTAAATGTTTTGTCACAGTTGAGAACGTTTATTAAAGAACTTAACATGAATCACTGAAAATAGCATGCCTTGTAATGGAATTACAAAAAAATCATTTTTAAATTTAGCACGGTCAAGCCACTGAGCTAAAACATTTTAAAAAAACTTAATCTTATGACACAGTCGATGAGTTAAACTCTTTCAATTATTTTTGTATCATTATAGTTACAAACTTAATTATCGCTTGCGTGTAATTTAAATTTAACATTTTGTAACTTTGTTCATTTTTTTTGGCCAATACAATCTATGTTAAGCAAAATTTTGAATAACATATTTCAGAAAATAAATAAATCGGCCTTTATTTTCATACAGAAATGTACAAGGAGCATGGTAAATTTATTGCGCACAAAACAATGCGCTGTTTTCGATCTTTTATCGTATGATGATCCTATATATCCCGTAGAGACTTTTTCTCTTCCAAGATATCGCTACTGTTTCCATTTTGAAAAAAAGATTCAACAAATTCCAAAATAACATACATGTAGTACATGTCTATATATAATAATAGTATTTAATGATTCTGATAATACGTTTAATGTTCGCAATTAGCCTTTTTATGCCCCCGTAAACGAAGTTTCGGTGGTTTATATTTTTGTTGTGTCCGTCCCTCTGTCTGTCGATCTGTCTGTATGTCTGTTTGTTGATTTAGTGGAGCTATGACTTTCATATTTAACTTTTGTATTCCTTGTGACAAAAACTTTCTTTGGGTACAACTAAATTTGACCTTTGGACCTTGACCTTGCAGTTTGACTCATTTTTACAAAAAAGATCTCAACTTTTCTTTGGTCATATCTTTTGAACGTTATATACGAAGACTTTTATATTAATTTCACATATTTTTTATTTGTGAAAGACCTTTCAATTAGTACCAACAACTTTGACCTGATGACCTTGACCTTGGAGATTTCCGTAATATAAAAAACATTAACCTTGTCCATATCTCTTGAACGGTAAGGGCTAGGACTTTCATACTTCATATATGTAATCCTTGTGAAAAGTCGCTTCAAAGAATACCAAGAACTTTGACCCTTTGACCTTCACTTTGGAGTTTAACCTTGGCCATACTTTGCGAAGAGTAAGAACTAGGACTTTATTACTTCACATATTTAATCCTTGTAAAAAGACCTAACATTTGACATCAGGAACATTGACCCGTCGGCCCTCTCCTTGGAATTGGGTCCACTTTTACACATAATATCCTAAATTTTTTTAGTCCTAATTTTTAAACGGTAAATACTAGGATTTTTATATTTTTGATATTAATTATACGTTGCATTTGAAACCAATTATTTTATCCTCTGAAGATTTCAGTACTTAAAAAACTTTAACATTGACAATGACTTTTGAACGGCAAGGTCAAGAGGTTCCATACTCCACAAATGTTATCTTTCTGACAATACCTTACATTCAATATCATCAACTTTCAACTTTTACCTTGACCTTGGGGTTTCACCTACTTTTTACTAACTTTAACCTTGGCCACCACTTTTGAACGGTAAGGGCCAGCGCTTTCATACTTCCAATATGTAATATTTGTAACAAGGCCTTTCTTTAGAAACGAACAATCTTGACCCTTCGACCTTGACCCTGGATATTCTCCTACTTTAAAAACGTTAATCTTGGTCACAACCTCTGAACAGCTGGTGCTATGGTTTTATATTTCACATTTGTATTTCTTGTGAAAAAGGCTTACTTTAACCACCAGAATATTTTTTCTTCAAAAAACGCCAAGGACACTGCTTTTATATATAAATAAAAAACACATATTATGGCCATTAATTTCTTTATTTAAAGGTTAGCATAAATATCTTACAGGCTGAGATATTCCTATAATTCAACAAGTACAAAGGCTGGCAAATAAACTGACGATGAACTGGAGAGCGATTCTTTATGTTCTGCTGTTTTATTTTGCTTCTGAAGTAAGTTTATATTTACTGTCGTAAATAAGCTTTTATGTCACATTGATTTTTAAGGTGTTCTATTGCTGTCTTTTTTTTTCGTTCCTGGCCATATGATGAGCTAAGTACGATTATTTTAATTCATTTGCATTTTTTTCTCCGCTTTGGATGGTCCATTTATATGAATATTTTTTGTGAATATCATTAAAAGAGAAAACAACTATGTTTCAGACTTTTTTTCAATCCGTTCTTGTTAAAATGAGAGTAACCAACAAGATTCATATAAGATATGAGCAAAACGTTTCTACTGTTAAGAAATATAAAAGTGTTATCAGTTATAAAACACAAGTCTCCTAGGCAACGATTCAGAATCCAGGGTGTAATAAAGTTTTTTTTAATATGTTGAATTTTTTATCTTTTGGGATCCTTCCTGCTCTGTTATCAAAATCAAGCAGAGTCGCGCAGTGATTAGAGCGTCTGCTCTAGAGTCGCGACTTGAGGAGCTGTTTCTTACGTCACAGGTTCAAATTCCACTATGGGACGTAGAGAACTCTCCTTCGGATGAGGCTGTTTAAACCGAGGTCCCGTGTTGCAGAAGGCTGGCTCGAAAAAGGCCCTCACTGCCCAATGGCCTTAAGTGCTGAATAATGGACAAAAGAACTTTATTCGGTAATAACCAATATTTGCCCCCCAAATCAAACTTTGATGGAGATATATTTAATTAAGTTCTTAAACAGGGGAGTATATGCTGACTTCAAAACACTGAATATTTTCATAAGTAATGACGCCATATGTATGTAATGACGTCACACACATGACGTAAATTTCAGTTTTTAATAAATTATACAGAAAAATGTACATATTTCGTCGATATTTTGAGTAAAAGTCACCGAGCGCATGTGTGTTCAGGATCAATATTTTGATATAATGTGTAGAATGATAATATCAATGAAATATGTCAATATTGTTCCTGAACAAACTTGCGCTCTATAAATTTAAAAGCTAAAATTGTTGAAATTTTGTCCATTTTGTCCTCTTTCTGAAAAAAGGATATAAAATCGGACTAGTTTGTGACGTCATAAAAACAAAAAATTGCGAATACACTGCTTTGACACAATAATATTTTGTGTTAATCTATATATTTCTCATACAATTTATTGAATTCAGCACATTTCAGGAAGTTTTCAAAATTTGACTTTTGTGGGGGCAAATATATGCAATATACCGCATATAGTTCTTTGCAGTTTTCCACCGGCAATTGCATGGTGGCGTCTCTCTACATGTGTGAAAAAGAGGGACCTTAAACAACATGCATACAAACACACAGTATCAAGCAGATGAACTGTTGCTAGTTATAATGAGAAGTTAACCTCATATTTGTGAAATCCACCACCGCCCCGGGGTTGAGAATTCTGTTCGACGATAGTGCAGAGTTGGTCATATCTATAAAATGTGAGCATTTTCCCTGTTGAATTTTTATATCATGTTCAGGGAATTCTAACAGAGAATTTTTGGTATAATTGAAATTAGTAATAAACTTCTAATTTACGTTCTTCGCTGTACCTTTGTGAGTCATCATGAAGCCTGAGCGAAGCATGGAAACGAAAACCACAAAAAAAAGTTATGGACCATTTACGAAATTGAGACAGTATAGCTAGAGTTTTGCATAAAATTACATATACATGTAATGCAGTATTTTCTACTTCTTGACATTTAAGTGATAGGATTTTTGCAATGTAATAAATGTAAGAGGCATGGTACTTATCAACTGATTTTTTTTATGTGAAGTCCAAATAAAACCATGCAATACCGATATTGTATGGCTGAGTTCGTCGTTGCGAGTGGAAGTAAGGTGTCACGGCATATCTATTGTTTATAAGCAAGATGATTTCGACACTTGATATGCAGGTCCCTAAAAAGCAGATTTCACTTTGCCATTGAGGGGGTCCAAGCCATACATTTTCAGTTTGGGGGAGTTCAACCCAAAAACTTCTTATAAAAGGGCACTAGACATAATCATTCCGGGGTCACAAGCAAATAATATTGATGTTTTTTTTAAGTATTTTATATATCTGAAAAATAAATGAATGGAGATGGGAGCGATCCTCCCGGTCCGTGCGGTATCTATTTATGTAATTGTACGTATTTTCTTGAATCACTGTTTATTTTGTAACTATACAAATATCAATCTTACAGGTGATACCACAGTACCGTTTTCCTGTTCATGAAGTCGATTCCTGTCCCAAAAACCGATCAGAGTGGAACACAGCTGGAGCCCGACTTAACTGTTCTTATGATGAAAACAACACACTACAGTACCTATGCATTCCAAACGAATACATAACAACTCTTCTTGAGTTTTGTTATGACAGAACAATAGAATTTGGCGAAAAAGGTTTACACTACTATCATCTCTAACAGTTACTATGATTCAATTTGTAGTTATGAAATAGGAATGCCATTTCTTTATAGTAATTGTAATGCCAGAGAAATGCATAGATAAGTTTGAACAGAATAGCTTCATTTGATCAAATTGAAGGAATCCGTGTTTATCTTAAAGTATTCTAAAATATGTGGACACTATTTAGAATACTTTACCCAAGCTTTTAGTCGACAAAAACGGAATGCTAGAATGTACCAGATGCTGAAATCAAATATTTTGTTCTATTAAAATAACCATATTATACTTTATCTTAACTAAAAAAAATCATATCTTATTATTTGATTGATTGATTGATGTTTTACGCGGAATCGGCAATATTTCAGCCTGAATCGGCAGAAAATATGCAAGAGTAAACGTAAATACATAATTTTAGAGAGAAAACTTCGGACAAAGTTTCGATTTTCATTATTTTTAAAACTATTTTTTCTTCTTATTTCATTCGTAAAGTTAAAGTCGCATAGTCCGATTCTAATCGCTAAAAAATATATTCGTTTTTCTTTTTGAGAAATAAGTGTCCATAAATGTTTTCAACTTTTGTCAAATTATATCCCCAAAATCTTTTTCCTTTTAATAGATATCAAAATTCAAAAGTTAGAAAAATAATTTTTGTTATTTCATACAAAAAATAATCCTTTGTTGATATTGCGTGAAATCACCTTCGAAAAATTAAATTTATCGCTTATATGTATAATTCATGAAGAACAAACCCGAGCATTTTTTTTTAACATTAAAGTACTTATCCTGAACACGGGCAATATTTTAGCCTTCGTTAATAAACTTCCTTTAAAGAAAAAGGGAAAAAAAAAATAATAATAAATAAAAAACTTGAAATATCTGATTTTCCTTTATTCTTTAAACATGCATATTTATTCCTATGGATTATACTCAATTAATTTTGTGATTTTTAAAAATATATCATGACTTAGGCTTTTAAAAAAATACTCGGGTTTAAAAAAATAACGGTCATTGAGAATAGAATGAAATTAATTATTATTTATAAAGCACATTTTACAACAACTCTTCTATTTCTTCACTTAGGGCAGTTATGTTAGTTTAAGAGTTGTTGTAAAATGTGCTTTATAAATAATAATTAATTTCATTACAACATGTATTGGTAACAATCCTCTGTTAAAACTAATGTCTAAATAACTGTATCTCACTTCTATTCTCAATGACCGTGTAGTGTAGGGCAGCGCCGCGAGAATTCCATCGGCATCGAAAGCAAGTTTTTTAACTTGCCTAGATAGCCGAGTGGTCTAGCTCTCTGTTCCTGCACTGCTAGGAGACAGATTCCGAAGGTCGAGAGTTCAACCCCGGGCTGGGGCGGAAGTGGGTATCCATGTAAAAGTGAATTTCCTTGTGCTTTCTATATTAATATTTCTTCACTTAGGGCAGTTATGTTAGTTTAAGAGTTGTTGTAAAATGTGCTATATATATATATATATATATATATATATATATATATATAATTTCAAAACAAAATGAAGAATCGGTACAGTTTTTGGTATATTTAAAAGTAAAAATCCAAAAATATCACAAAACATTTACTGCTTTGTTTTGTGATATTTTTGGATTTTTACTTTTAAATATATATATATATAGGAACCTAAAGGACATGGTAGTAAGAACCAGACTGGACAACCCATTACCTAACGGGGGCTTTAAAACTTGCTCTGACAGAAGATGTCTTCTTTGTAAGCACAGCACTGACACAGACAGTTTTAACAGCCCTGTTACAGGCCGCAGCTACAGAATACTAGGGAATTTGTCCTGTCATACTGACAACTGCATTTATCTCATCATTTGCAAAGTTTGCTCCAAACAGTATATTGGTGAAACAGGAGATCTCCGCAGGAGAGTCAATAACCACCGTTCGACCATTAGGACCAAAAAACTCAATGAACCCGTTGGGGAACATTTCAACCTTGACGGTCACAAATGGGAGGACATGACAGTAGTAGTGATTGACCATAACCCAAGATGGACAGACGCTCAGAGAAAAAGCAAAGAAAAGTTCTGGATGCACAGATTAAAGTCATTCCGCCCCAATGGTATTAACAAACTGAATGACTTCACCAGAATGAACGTAAACTAGACCCGATACCTGATGATACCAAACAAGATTATTCTCTCAATTTAGTGTAAACTCTACTGTTAATTTGAGTTTCCAACTCTCGAACAACCCACATAACTAGGTATTGCTTACGCCTTTGTTAATTAATTATTAATCAATTTTTACCGATAATTAGTCCTAAAACATTTCAAATTAAAATTTATAATTGATCATAATTCATATGTTAAAATGCCCCTTCTATAATATTATTATTATTTTTCTTTATTCTTTATCAAGTATAGTTACGCTATTTTGAGAGAATGAAACAATGTACGATTTACTGATTGTCGTTATTAATTAGCATAATTAATTCGTTCAATTATGTTAATCGCACTTCACCCGAGTATACCCGATAGACCGGACGCATTTCATAGCGGTCCGGATTCTTTTTTTAATAGTGTTCTTAAAAATTTCCAAATCATGTAACTAAGTATGTAAATATATAGTGTTTAGTAGTTTAGTAGTAGTGCTAGTTGTTTTTTGTTTCTCTTTTTCTTTGTTCTCATGACTTTTTAACTTTTTTCTTTGTCCTGAGGAAGGGACAGGGCGTCCCGAAAATTTGACATTTTTTATTGTTCGTGTCGTTGGTCATTTTTAGTGCTTTATATAAATTTTCATCCGTGACCTTGTATCTACTTGGTAGATCCGACATTTAGGATATACAGTGTTGTTGGTTTTTTAGTGCTTTATATATATATATATATATATATATATATATATATATATATATATATATATATATATATATATATATATATATAGACTGTTTCTTGTGTCTGATACGAAAAGGTATACTATACTTTTTAACAGGAAATTGTCTCCTTCTGTATCCCCCTGGAAATCCTATACAAGTTAGCTGCACGACGTTTAGAGTTGGATGTCCTGATCAAGACTATCTTAGCAGTGATATATTTAATTGTAAGTAGCGACGTCGACATGACAAGTGTTTTTTTTTTTTAATGGAAAACATTTTCTGTGGATGTTATTAATGATTTCATTTTAGTTATTGTGACTTATGAAAAGTATGGCAGCACTTAAGCTATGAGAGTTGGATCCCGATGTTTTGTGCAAAATAAAATTCCAAAATTCATTAAATTTATGTTTTAAAGGTATTGTGACATGACCTGGCGAGTTTTCCTTTGAAGTCAAGCATACTGTAACTGCGATACAGAACAATTTTTGTGGGCGTTTATTATGCAAATGAGCAAAAACTGTACTGTTTCAGCGAAAAACCGACGGTACAGTACGGTTTATTTTTAGCCATGACAGGAAGCTGTATCTCTATACATTCAATTAGCATGATACATGTACATGTAGCACTGTTAGTATTTACTCGAAATTTGAGGTGAATTAAAAATAAAATTTTACAACGTAAATTTAATGTTTAAGAAAGAGGGAATTGTGCAGTTCACAAATAATTATTTCGAACACCCCCCCCCCTTCAAAAAAATTAGTGGAAAATCGTATTTCGTGGGGTTAGATTTATATCCAACCAAGACTATATGTGCTTGATATCGTTAGTTGTTGATAATTTAAATAGCGTATGTATACAAGTTTACAAAATATCAAAGCGAAAAAGAAAAAAAAAATCAAGGAGGGTGGGATGGGGGGGGGGGGGGACACCAGTGATTACTCAGATCCCATTTCCATTTGGTTACACTACATTTTATTAAAAACATGAAATTAAATATGGATAGGACCCCTTCCTTTCATCTGTTTATTTCAGTTTTGTATATGACGACCGGAGGAGGACATTGTCGGACATTTCTCTCAGATTACGTTCTCGCCGAAGCATTTTGTTTCAAAAATATTCCTGTACGATTCTCATTTATCAAAATGTTTTGCATTAATTAAGTCGAGGCTTAAATTAAAAAAAAATGTCAGCAAGAGCTGAATAGAGAAAAAAGCTCTAAATAATAAAATCTAAATTTAATTTTTCGGAAAACAAATTATATTATGCATCCCCGAAATAATTTTTTGAATTGATAAATACCTGCACGTCCACCTCACTCGGCATTTCAGTTACGAATGCTTAAAATGGAATACTAAATCAGCTTTCTGCAAAGTCATCTGATTGGTTGAACGATATGTACCCAAATACGCATGTAAATTAGTGAGGTCATAAAAAAGGTCATGTCACAAGTCATTTAGAATACTCGTTTCCTACTGTAACAGAGATACAGGGCGGGGCCCTGCTCGAGCTATCGCTCTCGCCTCAAGCCCCGCCCTGTATCTCTGATACAGTTGGAAACTCGTCCTCTAAATAATACTTAAACAATGTCCAAAGAGCAGGTTTTGGAATATTATATTACATGAAATTTTAATATTGCCGAGCGACACTTGCTTTTTAGACAGGGGTCTAACAGTTATGTCACATTTCTATTGTTTTCCATATGCTTACTAGTTTTTAACGACATTATTTACATAGAGCTGCAACTCGGCCATTGGTCTCATTTGCACAGAATATGTATTTCAATTTAAACTTATACATATCCAAAGGACAATGTTGGCCAAGTTGCGGCTCATATCTAATTTTAAAATAAAATGTCTTCAAACTAAGGTCGAGATACATGTAGCTACTAAATCAACCATTCACCGAGCATCAACGATTGATATAAGGAATCACTGTCTAGTTTTGAGAGTATGCCAGGGCATCAACAATAGTGGGAAACCTGGGATAATTTGTATGCGTATTAGGCCTCCTTAGCTGCTGACCTATCGACCTGCCTAATTTACATTCCGGCAGAATTATCAAGAAATAAATTACCCCAACTTTTAAACAGTTTTCACAGAGAAAAAAAATAAAAATGGAAATATATTATGATCACCTTACTCAATTGACATTCTGCTGTTCGATACGCTAACGCTTTCATGGATTATTTCATTGTATTTAAGTTTTTGTTGTGACAGTATCTATCGTACTTCCAACTTATGACTGTGGGAGATTTTTGCGCATTTAATGGGGTTTGAAAATAATATGTCTGTTATTAAACTTTATACTTTTCATTCGGAGTGTTTTGAAAGAATTCTGGGGACAGTGTATTTAGTATGTACACGTGTAAGCTTATGTTTCCTCTGTAGTATGGTCTGCAGGCGAGACATCTACCGCATCCCTAAACATAAGTATAATTTATTAATTGTGCACCATAAATTCAACATTATATCTCTCTTCTTCATTTAAATTCGTAGTGCGATAAAAATCATATGTGCCAATGTTTACATTCAACACTAAGGCTGTTTAAAATTAAAACTACAGCGCTATGACAAAAGTATTCGCGATTTTTTAAAAATGGCGACGTCAACAATATACACTTCGTTTGTTCAAAGGGGAATAACTTTTGAACGAGGCCGATTTATCCAGTGAAATTTTCAGAGAGTTATCTTTCGCAAGTTAGTGACGTAGTTTATCAATTTCCGTCGTCTGCATTCTTGTAAAATCGTAAACAAACATATCATTCACCATGGGCCGAAAATTTAAAGAATTGACGATGTACGAAAATTGATCGTTGAAATGAAGTTAGAATGTAAAAAGAGGTGTGAAATTGAAAATTTATTAGAAATATCGGAATCAACAATCAGATCAATCTGGAAAAAAATATTTATACACGGGGGAGATAAACAAAGCGAAAAGAAAAGGACGTCCTTGCAAGATGTCGCAACGGGATCGGAACTGGCTTGTTCGTCATACAAAAATGAACAGGGAACGTGTTTTAAGTGACATTACGAATGATTTAAACAGAAGTAGGAATGCAAAGATCATATACATCCACGGACAGTGCAGAGACATTTTACATGAACATGATGTGAAGAGACGAGTGGTAAGAAAAAAGATGGCTGTGTCAAAGGTCAACAGAAAAAAGCGTATGTCTTGGTGTCTCGAGAAGAGAAAACGTTCCTTCCCCAATGCATGTGTCCTCCGCGACAGAGAAGGGTGTCTATTATGGTGTTGGGTTGCATTACATATTACGGAGTAGGAACCCTTTGCCTTGTCAACGGTACCATAAATGCAGAAAAATATATTGCAATTCTAGAAAACAATTTATGACCTGTAATTGTTCGGCATTTTAGCAACAAACAGTACCGCTTTCAAGATGATAATGCCCCCGCACATAGACCCATATTACGAGGGACTACAAACTGGAAAATAACATTCCAACTATTGTGTGGCCGGCGCAGTCCCCGGACATCAATATTATTGAAAACTTGTGACTGTGGATTAAACGAACTCTACAAAATCGGCAACAAAACGTAACGACCCCCGAAGAGCTCTTCGCCGACGTTTCGGACATATGGACTTCCTTTGATCAGAACTGCATAAGAACTCTGTACCATTCCATACCACGCCGTTTACTAGCTGTCATTATAACTAAGGGACACCTCACAAAATATTAGGTAAGTTAAAATGATATTTAATTATATATTTAAGATGTTACTTGAAGCGCGTCCTTGTTTACGGACGCCATTTTGAAAAATCGCGAATACTTTTGTCATAGCGCTGTACATGTATGTTTAACGACACCCGCGCGCGTAGGTTTATGAGAAATTCTTCTTTGAAAAAAACCAAACAATTCGGAATTCCCTATGTCTGTTCCGGTTTGGTTCTACCATAAGCGACTGAATTCTGCTTCCCGTAGTGACTGAAAATGTGCTTTGAAGCTGCAGTTAAGACAGTTGGTGTCTTATTAAAGAAAACTAGTGTATTAAAGAGTTTGGGACCATAAATGTAAGTAAAAAATAGATGATTTTATGATTGAAGTTAATTACAAAGTCTAGTTTGTTGGTTTTTTGTCAGTACTCGAATCACATGTTCAGACTGACAGTGACAGACTCTCAGATTCTATTGGCTGAACCTCTCATTGCATTTTGGAGAGAATCGAAAAACTTTTTTACTGAGTGGAAAGTGTGTAAAAAACCAAGATTTATATACAGTGAAAAGCATCATTCAAATCTTATTTAATATGTTTCATATTAAAAATATTTCTGTAAAATTCGAAAAGAACAGTAATGAGTAAAGTAAATGATTTCTTCATAATTCATGTACCTACAAATAGCTACAATTTTTGGAGGAATAATACTTGTCATAACCATTTGAGCAGAGCAAAGCTTACCATTCAAGTGAAGGAGAGTAAGAAAAGTGGTTGGGGTATTCCAAGACGTGAAGAATTTTGTCTTTTGTATGGAATTCAATGTATTAAAGATAATCTAACAGCTATCAGTATGGTCCAAATATTAGTATTCACACTTTCCATACTTAACGCTAGTAGATCTAGTACTAAGAAATAAATACGACATAATTAAATTTGAAATATATTTCAAAATGAACAGTTTTAAATATTGTCATCAATAATTTTAATTGTAGATATTGATTAACTATTCCCACAAGAAGAAGCATTTGCCTCCAGGGTACCATGGACATGTGGCAATATAAATCCAAAGGACAACTGAGGCCTAGTTAAAAGCCACTTTCCTGCACATTCAGTCTTAGACTACATTGTTTGCTAACAATAGGACTCAAACTGATTTACATACCAAGGAAAAACTCTGCTAGGGAAAATACTCTTAGGTGTCATATGAATTAATTTCTCTTATTACTTAATTGTAATATTTTTAAAGTAGTGAAAAAGTTAATTTAAATAAATTAACAATTGTTTGAAAATTTTGTTTGTTTATTTTTTTCCTCCCTCCCTTGTAGGTTTTGAACTTTAGATGAGACGTTAAACGTAGAATTAACTTTGAACAGCTTTATGCAATTTCAAGTCTCCGCCTTCTTGCGAATACCTTAAATTCGAAAATTGTCCCGTTCAAATTGCCGGAATCTAAGGCTTTTACATGTTCTTTTTGATTACATTGTCTGTAATTATAGAAATTTTAAGGACAAAAAAATTCTAGAAATAAATATTAAAAGCATTTGCTTGCACATTAATCATAGATTAATTTAGCGATATAGTGTAATGTTAAGCTTA